AATCGCAGTGCGGGCTCACTTGACTTCGACTTTGCAGTGCGTGCTGGCTTGACCGCAGTAGCTAACCGCGTTAGTACCTTGTGGTCGTTTTACCTTTTTAAATTTTTAGTTCCACTGTTGGTAAACACACGTAGCAATTGAATGAGTTGAAGTAAATAGCATCAACGCTGACAAGCTATTCACTTAGGAAACAATTCACGGCAATCGATTTCTTTTCGTATCAAAACAAGCATTCGCTTCTGGTCTGAGTCAACACCGGAACCCGTCTTTTGTGCGGTGCTTTTCAGAATAAAACTGACATACTGTATTTCCCAAGTGACTTTTCGTAAAATGAAAGACTTCGGAGAGGATCGTTATTTTAAAACGAAAACTAAAATCATTATGAACACTATGTAGTATGTTGGTAAATTTACCCTGTACTGTCACCTACTGGTCAAATTGAAAAAGATTGACGTTTCTCAAAAATCACACTAAAAAAAAGACAATCAACAATATGAACGGTTTAATCTTTTGGGGAAAACACACAGTTCAAGTAGCACACATGAAACGATAAATCTCAATATTCAACAATACTCAACAAATAATTGCACTCAAGGGAACACAAACCATGCATTAAAGTGTGATTCCCCTTCCTTTACAAGCTCTGTAATGAAAAAATGGCATAAGTAGTGCATTCAGCAAAGCAGTGAACTTGTTCTGTTTGATGTCCAATGCAGTCTTAAAATAACGTCAGACTCCCAAGTCGCGGCTATGCCTCCACGGCAATTTCCTCAAAGAGACACAGCAGGTTTTTGGGCCCGAAGCTGGGCTGGTCGTCCAAACGGCTTCGGTCGCGATTGCGGCGCTGTGAAGATCGTCTGGTCTGCCTGGAGTCCAGACGGTCAGTGGGACTTGGGGTGCAAGAAGTGTGCGTGGATGACGTGTTACAGTCGCTGGAGTAGACGTTGGAGGGTGCCCGGGCCTCGTTGGATGGGGACCACTCAAATGGATCCAGGTGAGGACTCCGGTCAACGTAATCCAGAGAATATCGGAGAGGAGTGGATGTACTTTTCAAACTCAGTGTGGATTTCATCCTGTTAGAGAAGACCCAAAAGTTAAAGACCTTCAAAATCATTGGTGAATTTGTAAATGCTGAACCGCGGATATGACAGGGTTCACCGTAGTACTATAATGCCACCAAAAAATCCTTGTCAGTCCGGCGCGTGTGTCGACAAATAACTCAGAAGAGGTTCACCGAAAGCGAATATGCTAACCTGTCCGAGAACCTTGGGGAATTCCCCGGTCCCACGGATTCCACCGGGAACACCCCGTCGTCCTCTGAGCTGTCAGCGTGCAAGGCGTGGAGGGGCAGCGTTACTTCCCCGTCCCAGTTCTCTTTGGGAGGAGTGCAGGGCACCGGCTTGCTCCAGCCAGAGAAGATCGGCAAGTAAAGAGAAGAGAAAATTCGCCGACCAAAGTCTACCACCACCTGGAAACAGAACCAACCAGCAGAATATTAACGAAAAATCAACCAAATTCATCTAAGCATTTTTTGTAAGGCAGACCCCTTTAGGACAGCGGGCCACCTTGAATCAAAATCAACAGTCCTAAATGTGACCAAATTACCCGGCAGAAGAAGGCCAAAGTCAGCATGGTTTCTGTGAAAATAAGGTAAGCGTGTCTCTTCCATCTGTGTTTCCTCACTGCGGGCAGCGCAAGAAGCTCAGGCACTGTCGGCCTCTCTGAAGGCTCTGGAGAAAGCATCATCTGAAGAACTTTCTGAAGGTCGGTGGAAAGCCCTACAGAGAGAAATGTCACAAAATGTAATCGTGACTAACCCTGAATAATCACAAATTACAAACGCATCTGGGGAAGGGTGCGGGGTTGGGGGGAGTACTGTAAACCTACCCCTCGCGACCTCAGGGAGGTGCCCGTGTCTAATTTGCTGCCAGCCCTCCCCACCATTGGGGACCTCAATGTTGCACGCAAGCTCCAGAATGGAAACACCCAAACTAAAAAGTAAACAATAAGTTGATGTGAGGGAATCCGCCGTCTCCCAAAAGTATGACTTTTCTTATGGACGGCGTTAAAGATTTCTGCACCTGAAAACATCTGCGGCGGGTCCATACTCCCCCCGTAGGAGCTCAGGAGCCATGTACCTGGGATCTCCTCCGGGGTCATCTTCTCTCACTTTCTCCAAGCTGCTCTCGTTGAGCTCCAGCAGAAGCCCAAAGTCGCCCAGTTTGAGGCGCCCGGAGGCCGTGACCAGCACATTGGCGGGCTTCAGGTCCATATGAACAAAACTGCGAGAGTGCAGGTGGTCCAGAGCTGAGAGGAGGTCGCACAAGTACCACCATGCCCCACGCTCATCTGTGTTGACCGGAAAGAGCATGACACATCAGTGGTGTCAAAATATTACCTCAAAAGACCTTTTCATAATGTTTGTGGAGTAACTAAATGGAAAAAAGAGCGGAGAAAAGTCTTGACCAGCTTTGAGAAAAAAAAAAACAATGGCCAGCAGATGGCAGCATTGGTTCTCTTTGGGATGAGACCGCCTGGATCAAAATAACGCAGAAGCTAACCAACATGCCGTACAAGCAGCTTGTGATTGATCAAAATGTTTGTCACGTTAAATCCAGTACAAAGAGTGTCACAAAAGGGAGAAAAGATGACCGAGGATACATTTAGACGTCGAGACGAGAGCGTGGAAATAGGCGTGACGGCGAAAATGGTGCAGATGGTCCCTACCATTACCAGGAGTCTGGCTCTCTGCGTGGAGCAGCAAACTGGTGTGGCACAGTTCCGTCTGGATGTACAGCCGACCGCACTCCTCCCAGGCGGCGACCAAGTTGAGGATGTGAGGGTGCGGGCAGACCCGCTCGTGGTTCCTAGCCTCCCTCACCTTGCGGTTCCTGTCACTGTTGCCCCTGTAGCGATTGAGCGAGCGTTTGACAGCATACAGGCGGCCATCCTTGTTATTTTGAACCTGGGAAAGAAAAGATGGTGACAGAATTCCCTGTGGTTTCAAATGTCGTTTTAACTGTGAAATGAAGATGGCGCTAATTTCAATAGATGTATTGTACATCTGTTTTGATTTTTATTTATTTGCGCTACATATGTTTTTTGCAAAGCTGCAGACTGCAATTTTAACTTCTTGAGGTTCTACTTTATGTCACCCATTCGAATCACACTCACCTTGTAGACTTCACCAAAGGAACCCCTTCCCAGCAGGCCCAGCATAGTGAAGCACTGATTGAAATACGACTGCTGCTTTTTGGGGTCGTACACAGATTCCGGAGGAGCCAACTGGCTGAGCGAACAAGACAGGGGCGTCCAGGGGGACGCTTTTTGCTGGAAGAAGCGGCTCACAGAGAGAGACTCCTTTGACGGCGCCAACGGCGGCAGAGAACGCGACAGTTGATCAGGGGTGGAGACAGAAGAGTTGGACGTGGACGAGGAGCAGAAAGGGTGCCGACGCTTTTTCAAGGAGAAGGACTGTTCCGCATGTGCAAAGTGGGTGGGGAGTGGGAGAACTCTGGTCACTGCGGTATCCACGCTTGGTGACATTGTGCCTTCTTTCTGGTCAATGCTCTGAGAACGTTAAAAAAAAAAAAAAAAGCAAACATTCTGTGAATTTTAAAACAATACAATGTGGACACTGGATAGTGTTTTTAAATTTGATTGGAAAAACAAATATATGATTCTGATGATTCTGATTCTGATAAATCAAGCCATGAACCTCCCAAACCAAATCTAAAGCATATAAAAACAAAAAAAGGTACCATTTTAAGTGTTGTTTGGCCAAGTGCATTACACATGCTAACGAAACATCCTGCCAGACAAGTTATGTACTTGAAGTCTACTATAGAAAGAAAGCAAGTCAGTGCTATTGGTATTACTGGTATTGATACTGGGACACCTACTATTGATACTGGCATCTGCTGGCATCAATACTAGATTTCCCATAAAAGAGTAAACTGTAATAAGCGATATGACAATGCTGAAACTACCATTTGGTAAAATGAAGCTCAAGGACGCTTTTCCAAAGGCGGCAACTGCTTGAAGTGCATGTACATACCCAAGTGCAATGCAGGTATCGCTTCTGTTCACGAACTAACTTAGAAAAATGTCAGTAAATAGAAAAATGGAACCGCAGTACGAAATTGGGACTGAAGAAAATGCAACAGAGACTTACACCCGCGCTGGCTCGTTGACGTGGAGTGTAGCAAAGCGTAGATTTTAGTGTCCTCATAAACGTTAGTAACGTTTTATGGTCCTTTGAGTGTGTGCACAAATAAAGTAAATTTTATACTGAGCATAATCCAGGATAGATATAAACAGTACGCATTCGAAACAGAGGCGCCCACCTAGTCCTCCTCAAATCAGTCGAGCGGGATGTGGAGTGACGTGGTCGTGTTATGATGAATCCCACTTGAATTCTCGGCAGGACACTCTCCAAGTAAAGAGAAGAGAAAATTCGCCGACCAAAGTCTACCACCACCTGGAAACAGAACCAACCAGCAGAATATTAACGAAAAATCAACCAAATTCATCTAAGCATTTTTTGTAAGGCAGACCCCTTTAGGACAGCGGGCCACCTTGAATCAAAATCAACAGTCCTAAATGTGACCAAATTACCCGGCAGAAGAAGGCCAAAGTCAGCATGGTTTCTGTGAAAATAAGGTAAGCGTGTCTCTTCCATCTGTGTTTCCTCACTGCGGGCAGCGCAAGAAGCTCAGGCACTGTCGGCCTCTCTGAAGGCTCTGGAGAAAGCATCATCTGAAGAACTTTCTGAAGGTCGGTGGAAAGCCCTACAGAGAGAAATGTCACAAAATGTAATCGTGACTAACCCTGAATAATCACAAATTACAAACGCATCTGGGGAAGGGTGCGGGGTTGGGGGGAGTACTGTAAACCTACCCCTCGCGACCTCAGGGAGGTGCCCGTGTCTAATTTGCTGCCAGCCCTCCCCACCATTGGGGACCTCAATGTTGCACGCAAGCTCCAGAATGGAAACACCCAAACTAAAAAGTAAACAATAAGTTGATGTGAGGGAATCCGCCGTCTCCCAAAAGTATGACTTTTCTTATGGACGGCGTTAAAGATTTCTGCACCTGAAAACATCTGCGGCGGGTCCATACTCCCCCCGTAGGAGCTCAGGAGCCATGTACCTGGGATCTCCTCCGGGGTCATCTTCTCTCACTTTCTCCAAGCTGCTCTCGTTGAGCTCCAGCAGAAGCCCAAAGTCGCCCAGTTTGAGGCGCCCGGAGGCCGTGACCAGCACATTGGCGGGCTTCAGGTCCATATGAACAAAACTGCGAGAGTGCAGGTGGTCCAGAGCTGAGAGGAGGTCGCACAAGTACCACCATGCCCCACGCTCATCTGTGTTGACCGGAAAGAGCATGACACATCAGTGGTGTCAAAATATTACCTCAAAAGACCTTTTCATAATGTTTGTGGAGTAACTAAATGGAAAAAAGAGCGGAGAAAAGTCTTGACCAGCTTTGAGAAAAAAAAAAACAATGGCCAGCAGATGGCAGCATTGGTTCTCTTTGGGATGAGACCGCCTGGATCAAAATAACGCAGAAGCTAACCAACATGCCGTACAAGCAGCTTGTGATTGATCAAAATGTTTGTCACGTTAAATCCAGTACAAAGAGTGTCACAAAAGGGAGAAAAGATGACCGAGGATACATTTAGACGTCGAGACGAGAGCGTGGAAATAGGCGTGACGGCGAAAATGGTGCAGATGGTCCCTACCATTACCAGGAGTCTGGCTCTCTGCGTGGAGCAGCAAACTGGTGTGGCACAGTTCCGTCTGGATGTACAGCCGACCGCACTCCTCCCAGGCGGCGACCAAGTTGAGGATGTGAGGGTGCGGGCAGACCCGCTCGTGGTTCCTAGCCTCCCTCACCTTGCGGTTCCTGTCACTGTTGCCCCTGTAGCGATTGAGCGAGCGTTTGACAGCATACAGGCGGCCATCCTTGTTATTTTGAACCTGGGAAAGAAAAGATGGTGACAGAATTCCCTGTGGTTTCAAATGTCGTTTTAACTGTGAAATGAAGATGGCGCTAATTTCAATAGATGTATTGTACATCTGTTTTGATTTTTATTTATTTGCGCTACATATGTTTTTTGCAAAGCTGCAGACTGCAATTTTAACTTCTTGAGGTTCTACTTTATGTCACCCATTCGAATCACACTCACCTTGTAGACTTCACCAAAGGAACCCCTTCCCAGCAGGCCCAGCATAGTGAAGCACTGATTGAAATACGACTGCTGCTTTTTGGGGTCGTACACAGATTCCGGAGGAGCCAACTGGCTGAGCGAACAAGACAGGGGCGTCCAGGGGGACGCTTTTTGCTGGAAGAAGCGGCTCACAGAGAGAGACTCCTTTGACGGCGCCAACGGCGGCAGAGAACGCGACAGTTGATCAGGGGTGGAGACAGAAGAGTTGGACGTGGACGAGGAGCAGAAAGGGTGCCGACGCTTTTTCAAGGAGAAGGACTGTTCCGCATGTGCAAAGTGGGTGGGGAGTGGGAGAACTCTGGTCACTGCGGTATCCACGCTTGGTGACATTGTGCCTTCTTTCTGGTCAATGCTCTGAGAACGTTAAAAAAAAAAAAAAAAGCAAACATTCTGTGAATTTTAAAACAATACAATGTGGACACTGGATAGTGTTTTTAAATTTGATTGGAAAAACAAATATATGATTCTGATGATTCTGATTCTGATAAATCAAGCCATGAACCTCCCAAACCAAATCTAAAGCATATAAAAACAAAAAAAGGTACCATTTTAAGTGTTGTTTGGCCAAGTGCATTACACATGCTAACGAAACATCCTGCCAGACAAGTTATGTACTTGAAGTCTACTATAGAAAGAAAGCAAGTCAGTGCTATTGGTATTACTGGTATTGATACTGGGACACCTACTATTGATACTGGCATCTGCTGGCATCAATACTAGATTTCCCATAAAAGAGTAAACTGTAATAAGCGATATGACAATGCTGAAACTACCATTTGGTAAAATGAAGCTCAAGGACGCTTTTCCAAAGGCGGCAACTGCTTGAAGTGCATGTACATACCCAAGTGCAATGCAGGTATCGCTTCTGTTCACGAACTAACTTAGAAAAATGTCAGTAAATAGAAAAATGGAACCGCAGTACGAAATTGGGACTGAAGAAAATGCAACAGAGACGTTAGGAACTTACACCCGCGCTGGCTCGTTGACGTGGAGTGTAGCAAAGCGTAGATTTTAGTGTCCTCATAAACGTTAGTAACGTTTTATGGTCCTTTGAGTGTGTGCACAAATAAAGTAAATTTTATACTGAGCATAATCCAGGATAGATATAAACAGTACGCATTCGAAACAGAGGCGCCCACCTAGTCCTCCTCAAATCAGTCGAGCGGGATGTGGAGTGACGTGGTCGTGTTATGATGAATCCCACTTGAATTCTCGGCAGGACACTCTCCGCCGCAATATGATTGGCAGAAGCACACAGCTGGCTGCATTATAATTGGCTTGCAGCAGCCAATCACATTGATAGCAGGGCGTCCCCTGCCTAGAACTACAGTGGGATTATACATTGGCACCACACGAAGTAAAGTCGCGCCAAATTCCGAAATCTGATATACGCAGGGATGCGCATCTGCGTTTCGTGAATTCAACGTACACATTTTATTTGCCGTAAAATCGCGCAGGCGCGGTGAACCTGTGGCTTCTGCTGCACTACAGGGCTGGCGCATCGGGCTAGCTAGCTGATCATTTAAGATGGTAAGTGGGTTATTTTAATCACATTTTTTTTTTGTCATTACAGTCCGTTGTTAGATCACGGGGATGAACCTTCTGTGGTCGGCATCAAAATCACAACGCTGTTGGCGTTTAAAAAGTGCGATTTAGGTGTTAAATAGCGATCATGTGCTAAATTTGCTCTGTTAGCATCCAGTTTCCCATCTACAAAGATAGCGAGGTAATTTAGCCCGGCTAACCTTGGGAGTGATGTCATTTGAGTCGAGTTAATACTTAGCTGATGAAAATAGAGGTTATAAAACGCTGGAGTTTGTGTCCGAAGTTGGTAACCGTCACGCCTTAAAATGTTTTTTTTTTTTTTTGTATACTTGTGAGCTGCTTGTCAGCATTTAACTCAGGATTGCTAGCGATTGGATTAATGCCAGAATCTGTGGTGTTTTCCGGAACTCGGATGAATTTCTAACTCGATTTATAATTAGAGCGCTTCGCAATACTGTACTCGCACGCGTATTTGGTCTACTTAATGTGTTATTTGAAGACATTGTCAACATTTTTTCCCCGCAACAAACTCACCAAATGTTAAGGTCACTTTCATTTCCTTTTATAGTCACCATGTCATTTTCAAACTCCAACGTTGTCGCATTTGCAGACTCATTTGTTTCTCGTTTCAGGATGTGTTCTTAATGATCCGGCGTCACAAGACCACCATCTTCACAGATGCCAAGGAGTCCACCACAGTCTATGAATTAAAGCGTATAGTCGAGGGAATTCTAAAGAGACCGCCCGAGGACCAGCGGCTCTACAAAGTGAATTAACCACCTTTCCTAATCTGGAATTTAAATGACACAAAAGAATTTGGTGACTGATTGACATTGTGACTTCACAGGACGAGCAGTTGCTAGAAGACAGCAAAACTCTGGGAGACAGCGGATTCACCAACCAGACTGCCAGACCACAGGCACCGGCTACAGTTGGTCTGGCTTTTCGAGTCAGTGGTATGTTAACAGCAAGAATATTCGGGGGAAATCTTGTGGAGCAATGTGCCAAAATGTTATATCAAAGCTTGTATTGGCTGTTGAAACAATGTTGCATGATTTACCTCATTCGAACTTTTTGGTGTTCTGCACCAACCTATGCCATCTCCTATTATTTGTTAGCCTTAAGATAGCAGACTGTCCTAAGGCAAAGCTCTGTAATTTTTCACTATTTGCCAAACTTCTGATTTATATCTCAAGTTTTTGCTTGCAAGTCAACGTTAAAAAAAAGTCCAAATGATGGCTTTTACCTGTCAAATACGTCTTGTAAAATAAATACTGTACATAAATAAATCTCTCCTGTAACCCCCAGATGAGATGTTCGAGCAGCTGCACATCGAGGCCTTCTCCAGCCCCCCAGAGCTCCCCGATGTGATGAAGCCTCAGGACTCCGGTAGCACTGCCAATGAACAAGCCGTGCAGTGATGCACGCCCCCTCCGCCATGCGACGCGACTGTGGAAGTAGTGTGTGGGTGGGGGGTGTTTGGATTAACTGCAGTGAAGAAGTCGTGGGTTGGAGGATATGTAGTGTCATTTCAGTTGATGAACAGGGACGTTGTGGGTAACCGCGCCCGTCCATGTTATCTTCATGCTATCATCGCAGCACCCTCCCCCCTCCCCCAATTGGCTTCACGTGTCAGGTTTTTAGGTAAATATGATTTCTGCTTGGGCTCTGCTCCTTGGTTTGGAGAATGTGTGCGTGTGTGTGTGACTTATTCTAATTATTTTCATGAATATTTTTGGAAAAAGTGAAAGTGTACTAGTCCTTTTTAGAAGTAACCTGCATGGGTAAGGAGTGTGGTGTGTAAACGGGCAAACTGCATGACCCGAGGGCTTGATCTTCACACAAACGAATGAACACGTCCTAGTTTCCTTACATCATGTCTTCCAGTTATGTTCATCTGGTTTCTTGTGTCCCACCAGGAAATTAATTTTGTCGAAGTTATGGTCATGTTTTGTTTTGTGCACGTGTTGTCACTTGTGTCTCTTCTTTGTACATTTCCTGAGACCAAAGGCCATACACCAGAGAAAAGTTCTTTTCAGAGATTTTTTTGTTGGGTTTTTTTTGCCACAAACTTCTGGAAATTATTTCGTCACATCATCCTTTTTCAGCACCTTTCCCCACAAAAATACCCTGTAACTGTGAGCTTGCTTAATTAAAGGTTTTCCATTTTTTTTTTTTTTTTATACTTCTGTCTTGTTTTTCCCCTTCAAATATTTTCCAAGTGAAACACTCAAGTCAATGGTAAGAAGTCGAGTAGAATTCTGCAATTCTCTCAAGAATTTGGTCACAGGTGAGCCGTCGTCTGTCCGAGTTGACTTGAGGTGGGAGGCGGGCTACACCCGGACTGGTCGCCAGCCAATCGCACCGAGCATTGAGACGAGATGAGCATTCACATTGACAACTAAGGACAATTGGAGCCCTCTGGAGTAAATATGGGAAAAACCCACACAAGCATGGGGAGAACATGCAAACTGCACAAGGGAGAGTTTTAAACCCCAAATTGTGCTTCAGGTGTGCATGCCACAAAGTCCACCTAGCTGCTTTTATTAGAAAATATTCAAACCTTTGATGGGAGGAATAAAATAAAGGCAACAATCGAGTGTTTATGCTCCATTATTGAAATAACTGCTAGGTACCATTTTCTGATCAGGGTTTCCAGTGTTGATTGATTTTTAGAAAGGCATGACAGGCTGGATCTTCACACCTGTGTTCAAATAAAGAAGCTCGGATATAGTCTTAAAAAATTGTAATGTAGTCTGCGCCCAATTTGTAAAGAGGTACTGTCACAACCATTCAATGAAAAAAAAAAATGTTGCAATTCCTAATCACGGTCATTTTGAAGGTAGATTTTTGTCTTATCACCATTTGAAAACATTTTTTAATAACTATATATGGGCCATTCCATAATTGGAGCACAATTTGGCACCAACTGTAAAATATTTTTATGTTTCCAAGGGAAACGATAAACAAGTGAATTTGATCTGTCCGGCTCAACGGTCATTGCTCAAGATAAATGTTTTGCTTTTGGGTGCAAACCTGTTCAGGATATTCTGGCACCTGCAAAACAACAACAAAAGAACAATTGAAGTTTAATTTTATTTGAAGATTAATTTCGAATGACCCGGGTTCGAATCCCCTCGTGTATTGTAATGTTAGCATTACCGTAAGTACAGCAACAGGGTTGCAAATCAATCCTAATGTTTGCTGGAGTAGCTGCTGGAGTAGTTGTTAGCTGTGATGCTCACTTGACAAGAACAAACTTCAGTGTCACAGCTTTCATTTCTCAAACTAAAGTACCCACCCCCAAAAAATACTGCGCTCTTCAAGTAACACCATCATGACTTTTAACCTTCAAATGCAGTGACGTAGTAAGCATTTAACAAAAAACAATACTGAGGTTTTGAGCTTAAAAACTATTGCAAGCACATATAAGTACATATACGTATAATTTCCACAAAAAGGGCATGTTTCTGTATTTTGCGGACGGACTCTTTGAAACTTCATGCGTGAATATGTGTGTGTGTGTGTGTGTGTGTGTGTGTGTGTGTGTGTGTGTGTGTGTGTTTTCCGACTTGAAACCCTTAATTACTTCGCGTGATGACATAAATGCACGTTTTTCCTGACAGTAGTTTGTGCAGTTCGCATGCAGTGCCACTTAAATCCAATTTGTCACTCTCGCAACTCGGGAATGTCTCTCTCCAGCCAGTCATGTAGTGACGTCATGTGTCCAGGGAATGCGGGCTGGGAACCGCATTCTTTTTTTTTTCCGGCTTCTTCTTCTTCTTCTCCTCCCTCCCTTCAGTTAACGCCTTCCCGACTGCGAGGAGGCATTACACAGGAAGAGGGAAGGAGTAAGTGAAAAAAAAATGACGAGATGCCCTCCTCCTCTTCCTCCTGTGTGGGCGAATAACGGTGCATGAGAAGTTATTGCAGCCAGACAATAGCGCCAGTCCATATTTACACACACACACACACACACACACACACACACATACACACACACACACACACACGCATACACACACACATTCACACGCGCTCGGGAGCCAAGGTGGGGTGTTCCACGATGGAGGATTTGGGTAAGTAGTGAGAGTGTGTTGTTCTTTTAAAGCTGCAGAAGGGGATCTGTATTTTGGGCTGTCCTGCAGGAAATTAGCTGTGCGCTGGCGCTGGTTGCCTGATTTCTCTTCCACCCCCCCAACACACCATGTAAGACAGCGATGTGGTGTGTAGCTTCGGAACGTTGGAGTCCAATGATGGCTTGTGATCGCTCTCATCCAGCCAGTCTTATTTGTCTTGTGGAGCTCTGTGGCGTGGTCACGCTCCTAACGTTTGAAAATGTCATTATGATGGATTGTGAAAGCGCCCAACTGATAAAATCTCATTTTCCAAAAGCCGCAAGACACTTCCTCTTGATCCCGGAAAGCATAATGAGGAGGTGGGCAAGACTATGCCCGCAAATAGCCTAACTTACTTCAACAATAATCCACAAAGCTGTATGAAAATTGAATGAGCACTTTTTATTATTTGTGCTCTATTCTTTCCATTGAGTCTACTTTTCTGAGTGCCACAAGGATGCAGCCGAAGCAAAACTCAGCACATCTGGATTAGATTGGCCAGTCAAGCTGGCTCCGAGTGGCCATGTTTGGTCCACTTTATGTGCTTTCCCCCCCCAAATATGTACTGTTGTAAGTTAATGTGTTGAGAGAGGAAGCTGGTAGCGGCAGCCAAGACAAACAATTTGAATGGGGCTGCTCTAAATATGGGCATAATTCCCTTTGGGAGAATTTTACCTCCTTATATGTGCAGACTGAATGTGTGTACGAGGGAGGGGGCGACGGTGTAGATTATGCACATGATCCTCGCCACACACTCGTACCAGAACTGTGAATCATCCTGGGCAGATGAGCAATGGCGGGAGGAACGACGCTCATATTGGGCAGCTCACAGTTTTTGTTTGTTTGTTTTTTTTACAGTTAAAAAGCAATAATAGGGCTCAAACAGTCATAAATTCCAGAGTTTTCAACCTAAAACTAAAACCCGGAGTAGGAATTCTGAATTCTTTCTGTGAAACAACGATTGATTGTTGCACGTTTCAAAGCGCCTTGTTGTCAGCCGTGAGTGCATGCACAAAGAGAAAGAGAGAAGAACGAGAAAGGTGACGCCGCCGCTGATGTAACACTTGAAAAAGTGGAGAACGGCATTATTGAGGATGGCTTCAAAATGCTCAAGAACTAATGCAGACCAGTGAGCTTGTAATAAATCACTAGCACGCAGCAAAGCGCATGATGTCATGCAGCTAAAAGTGCGTGTGCCTGTGTGTGTGTGTGTGTGTGTGTGTGTGTGTGTGTGTGTAAAGAGGGGGGTGTATAATGGAAATATAAAATCCACTGCCAAACAGCTCTTCCTCCTCTGCATCCTTTCCATGCTGGCATGTCTGGATAGCTGAAAAGATTTGTGAAGCCTTCGAAGGGCCTCCGTGGTGTTTGGTATGAAGTTGTGAAGCTGTCTCCTTTCTCCTCAGGAGTGCCTGAGCCACTTAACTACCCTCTCAGTCCTCGTATTGTTGTCTTTGGTACGTAACTGTCTGACCACATGCTTCTTCTCCTGCCTGTCTGGGGCATGTTGCATGTTATCTCTCTCTTTCCGGCACGGTGCCACATGTACTTCCGGGTCGCAAGAGCTCCGACGCCGCCAGTCGGAAACAAAACCTGACATGTCAGTTGACCAAGGCAGACTGTTTTTGAAAAGAGAATCAAAACAAACGTTGACAAAGTTCAGTTGAGTAGCAACGGATCGCATTCTGCCACCCGGAAGTACCCTGGTGACTCAGCATTGACAAGCATTCTGAAAAGGTCTGAAGCCACTCCATCCATTTCTCCGACCCTTCCAGTTTATAGTCCGTCTCTCCCGCACAGACGCCCTCCTGGCTGATTTGGAGAGCACCGGCTCCCCTCTCGCTCGTTGCCCGGTCCTCCTTACGTCAGATCCGCCGATGCACGCTGACCCGGCTGTGCAGAACCCAACCGAGGTTCGCCCACCGCCACCAGCCTACACTCCACAGCAGGTACTGAATGAAACCCACCAGGGGTTCGGCCAGAAAAATGTTCGAGGTGAGCAGCGAGCGGCATTCTGGACCAACTGGAGACACTTCATGGAGGAGTGGCTGACTCCAGAGTAAAATGCGTTCCAGTAATTCAGCCGAGATGTGACAAAGGCGTGAATCGCTGTTTCAAACTGCCCTTGAACACCTCGAAGCGTGACGTAATATGATGTAGCATCGCACAACACAGCATAACTCGATGTAAAGTGACATAACAAAAAAACAAAACCTCCACTGAGGTAACCTAACAACGCGACTTATCACCCGTGTACTATCTGTACATTTTTACGGCTCTGGGAATCCCATTCACTTGATAATGTCCTGTTGTCTCAGACAGTTTCTGCAGCCATGAAGTCCTCCCAAAATTCCAAGCCAGACAAACTGTACAGGTAACCCACTTTTTTTTTTCTCTCCCCGTCACGTGTTTGTCACTCGTGGTGCAACCCACTCATCCGCTCTCTTCTTATGACATCTGTCTCACAGTACAGTGTGTAAATCCCGCTCTCCCCGCTCAGCTGATCCTCCTCCTCCTCCGACCTTCTCCTCCTCCTCGCTGCTAGGAGGAGGTCTGAGTGAACTGGACCATCTGCTACAGGAGCTGAACGCCACCCAGTTCAATATCACAGGTCAGCGCGGAGGTGTTTGTTTGTGTTGACGCTCTGAAAAGCTGTTTTTAATCTGCTATCCTCGAGATCCATCTTCAGGTCCACGGACGAGTGCACTCATCCTTTTGTGAGACAATCCACCCGGTTCTTATCACATGTCGTGCATTTTCCAGACGAGATCCTGGCCCAATTTCCCACTTCTAAAGATGACAAGATAAAGGACTCCGCTGTCTCCAAGTAACAACAAATCCGTTAGAATTGCTCGGTTCAACTCAGAGCAACAAACCCTCCATTTGAAATGCAATTGTGTATTTTCTGGCAGCTCTGTAAAGCCCTCAGCAACATCCGCCACGCTGGAGTTGGACAAACTGATGGCGTCTCTCTCCGACTTCCGTGTCCAAAGCACAGTAAGTAGTAACGTGAAAAAAAAAAAAAAGATGAATAACAAGATAAGAAAATAAGTCATGCCCCAACCATGTTGCGATTGCTGTAACGGCTGCTCGCTTAATGCTAACCTTCTGTATGAAGCCGGAGAAGGGCAAATGGACTTTAGCCTTTGTCGTTTATGCTGAGCGACTGTGTTGTTGCTCGAGACAGCTACAGCTTGTTTGAGTCACAAAGACCTTTCGTTGACCTCACGATACATTCATTGTCACGTCACATTGCTTCTGGTCAGAATCGAGTCAATCGATGGTACCTGCTGATAGCACGTCGTCTCTTGACCTTTGATACCTAAGCACAGCAAACGTCATCCCCTTTAGGGCTTTAAAATAAAATTAATTGGTTTTGCTTGCTTCAGCCGGCTGTGCCCGTTAGTCCAGTGATCACGACAACGACACCAACAACCACAGCAGGAACACCACAGCAGCAGCAGCAGCAGCAGCAGCAGCAGCAGCAGCAGCTAATGGTCCCTCCACAAGTTACATCGGGCGGCTCGTTGGACAGCATGCTGGGGCTCCTCCAATCCGACTTGAGCCGACAAGGGGTTCAAACTTCTTCCAAAGGAAACTGTTCGGCCTGTCAGAAGCCGGTCGTGGGACAGGTGAGCATTCGCCAGCGACCAGGCAGTAGAACTGAAGTCTTGTGGCTTCACGGTGAAACGACTTCACTGACCAAAAAGAGTCCCGTGGACTCCATGCAGCTTTTTGCGGAACAACATTTACTGTGTGACCGTTCCCCCGTCGCGCAGGTGGTGACGGCCCTGGGCAAGGTGTGGCACCCCGAGCACTTTGTGTGCACGGAATGCGAGACGGAGTTGGGCAGCCGCAACTTCTTTGAGAAGGATGGGCGGCCGTACTGCGAGTCCGACTACTTCACGCTCTTCTCGCCTCACTGCGCGCACTGCAACAAGCCCATACTAAATGTGAGCCCTCTCTTTGCCTATTGTGGATCAGCTTTCCGCTCGTTAGGAGCTTGACAGACCTTTACAAGTCACTCGCTTTCTGCCATCCGGAAGTAGCCTGGCGCCGGTGATTTCAAAACACGATGAACATGTGTTTTCTCGTTCACTCAGAAAATGGTGACTGCCCTGGACAAGAACTGGCACCCTGAGTGCTTCTGCTGCGTCAAGTGCGGCAGCACGTTTGGTGACGAAGGTAAACACCAGTAGAAGTATAGCTTTTGGCGTAAAAACAGACACGACGAAAAGCGGGAGTAGTGATTCAACTTATTTAATGTCAGAAAGTACAAACTCTGAAGCGTACAAATGTTTTTCCTTTATTTTATCATTTCTAAAAACGAGTAAACATAGCTGGTAGCTTAAAAAAAGAAGATGTTCTTCATATGAAGGAAAAGACGCTAGAATTGAAGACATTTACCAGTAATAGAATCTCCCAAAGGAGTTGGTCGATTCAAATAATTTTTAAAAAAGCATATTTTGCTCTCATTTGAGATGTTTGGATTTAAATTTTTGCTGTGAGCGCCAGCGATCATCACTTGCGTCCCCATCCAAGTGCGGCGACGTCCTTGTTCTCAGGCTTCCACGACCGCGAGGGCCAGCAGTACTGCCAGCAGTGCTTCCTGACTTTGTTCGCCTCCCGCTGTCAAGGCTGCAGCCAGCCCATCCTGGAAAACTACATCTCGGCCCTCAACTCTCTGTGGCACCCGCAGTGCTTCGTCTGCAGGGTGAGTGTGCCATGTGCAGCGGATGTGTACGGATTGCACACTGTTCGGGATTTCGGGTGGGAATCCGCAAAGCTTTTCGGGAGTATTTCTGTAGATGTCAGTGAATGAAGCTACCTTTTATTGGTTGCTTTGTGGATTTATATTTCGGTGACTTTTAGGGTGTATTCCAGGAGATTGAAGAATATTTTTGGTCACTTTTAAGAAGGCGAGCGAATAATTTTTGATGAATCAGGAGGAGTGCTGAGTGAGAGACCAGAATGCATCAGAAAAATACCTTTAAGAAGGCGAGCGAATAATTTTTGATGAATCAGATGATGAATACCTTTCTTTTTTATTAATAGCTGAACTTTGGCAATTGAAAAAAAAACCCCTCATGATTCTCATGTGACTTTGGTGCTGCTATAAATGCCTGCCACTGTTTTTCAAAAAATGCTTCCGAAAAAAAGGAAAAAAAAATTCTCGCCCCCACGCCTCCCACCCCTTGCAGGAGTGTTACAGCCCCTTTGTCAACGGCAGCTTCTTCGAGCATGAGGGCAAGCCGCTCTGCGAGGCCCACTACCATCAGTCGCGGGGCAGCGTGTGCCAGGCGTGCCAGCAGCCCATCCTGGGCCGCTGCGTCACCGCCATGGGGGCCAAGTTCCACCCCCATCACCTGGTGTGCCACTTCTGCCTCAAGCCGCTGAGCAAAGGCTGCTTCAAGGAGCAGGAGAACAAGCCCTACTGCCACCTGTGCTTTGTCAAGCTCTTCGGCTAAGGATGCGGACCACTTGCTCCTCGTGCCCCTCTCTCTCTCTCTCTCTCTTGTCGTTGTTTTGACATTTTATACTGTGGCAATGAAGGTGGAGCTGGCCTCGTTCGTAGTTTGGAGCGTACAGTGAAACCCTGCAAAAATCCCTGAGTAATAGATAATAGATGCCACAAGATGGTAGCGGAGCACTTTTTTTTTTTCCCTCTTCGAAAAGGTTATGGTCACACTAAGTGAAGGGAGCAGCTTCATTTCAATATATTTCATGAGCTGAGTTTGGTACCAAAACAATACAGTATTTTGATATTTGACATGGATTCAGCCTGAGCACAAAAATTGCAAATGCGGGAGTTTTTCAGCTCCACATGGAAGCAAGAGGGCACCAAAGCACGACATGAAGCTCCTCAATCACTTCAATACAGTTCCTTAAGACAATGCTTTGGCCTGAGCACAAAAGCAGCAAAATATGCTACTCCAAATCTGTGAATACGTTGAGGGACATTGTACTGAAATAAAAAGAACCCCAAATAATTATCTGTTCAAAAACAAAATGCACTACACTTAGGCCTGGTGGTGTGAAATAAAACTTAAAGAAGTACACTATTAGAATAAGACCAGGAGTGGGCAAAGAATGGCATCAAGCATTTACATTACAAAGAGTCCTGTAATATTTATTACTTTTATTTAGCCCTTGAAATCGATTCCATAAAATGAACGTATTCCTTGTTTAATTTATCTAAAAAAAAAAAAGTTCATTGATTTAGCGTTGTAAACAGTACAACGAGACACAAATGTTTAGTTTTTTTATAGTTCATTTGACAATGATAAAGATTATAAACAATACAATTTAAAAATGAGAAGAAGTTATTTCATTAACGCTATATGTTTTCCATACAATATTGTATCTGTTTATGAATGACGTGGCCCATCTGCCCGTTTCAAAAACGCAACGTGACACACAACTTGAGCACAAGTTTGCCCACCCCTGAACTAAACATCCTTAAAAATGAGGTCAAATATTTTTGTAATATGCTTTTATTGTTTACAAAATGTGCAAATTCAATGTTTTTTTTTATTTTTTTTACCAAAGATATACAAAGTAAATATGGAAGGATTCTCTTCTCTTTCCGAGAAGGAATTTTTGCTTTGAGTTTAAAGACCCAATAAATTCTGCAGACGTTTTTATGTTGCCCTCTACGTCCAGTATATGTTGAGTAGGACCATTTAACCTGTCACACGTTAGATATTACATCACATTATTCTTTCACAAATCTTGTATGCACTTTGCCAAAAACTCTTACTAAGAATAAAAAAAACACATTTCATTATGTTTCATTTGCGTTTTCATTTTTGTGCTGCTTTATGTTTTAGAAGGATAAGTATCTCAAAAGGATGCAGTACAAGTTTACCACTGGGAACTAGAATCACAGCAATGAACATTTTTACTGTACTTTTCCAATGTAATACAATTATTAATCTCTGACTGTGCCCCCCAAAAATATGTTATAACATTTGTCGAGGCGAATTAAAACAACTGTATACAATTTTTCGTGACGATCAATGGGGTGGGAGAAAAGTAGGAACTTGACATTGGTATCGGTGTACCTAATAAATCGTCCGTTCAAATGGTGGGGTGGGAGAAAAGTAGGAACTTGACATTGGTATGTATCGGTGTACCTAATAAATCGTCCGTTCAAATGAGCCTGGGAAACGGATCCATGTCACGCTAATTCAGACCACCAGATGTCGCTCTTCGCCTACTGAAACAAAATCGAAGAAGTACATGTGCGTCTGTTACCAACGTGCGTGATGACGTGTCGCGTTCCCTCAGGTGAGTTTAATTAAACATAAATTACCAACGTGCGTGATGACGTGTCGCGTTCCCTCAAGCGCAGGTGAGTTTAATTATACATAAATCAGATTAAGTGAGTTGCTAACAGGAGGGAAACTTGGATAACCTTTATCGAGACTAAAAATCCATCATGGATGATCCAGAGCGATCGAAAGTAAGTGAAGAACATTTAAGGCTGTTTTTTATCAGGTTTGGATAACGAAGACGTTCTCTCGTTTTTTGGTTTGATTAGTTTCGCCATGTTCGCTGTCGTTCAATGCTGTGTCGCGCCATGAATTTGGTTGCTGGGCCTTCAATGTAGGCTTATACGACCCATTTATAAGAGGCCCAAAAGTGTAAATTAATTAATTGTACACACAGGAAATGGCTCATTGTTAAACAAAATGCTGAATGCTACAAATGTGTTTTCAGAATCGAAGTTGAGTTGGCCTTAACAAATTTTGCCCCGATCAGCCAATCAGAGGATGGGAGAATTCTGGCATCATGGCTGGCCCTGCGAAGAAGAATTTGAAATCTGATTGGACAAAACGTCCCATTGCTAATAGTGCCACTTTGGAATTGGCGCTAAACAGTCACATTAAAATTGACATTGCAATGTAGTACAAAGCAATTTTCAGTTTGCAAAGGCTGCACTTAGAATGTCTTCAGAAACCATTACCCGGTGCTTGTATTTTGTCATCCAGGTGGCCGAAGAGGTTGAAGAGTCGCTGCAGCCTCAGTGGCCTGAGAATGGAGAAGATTGGAGTGAAGAGGAGGCCGAGACTAGCATGGAATGTGGCCTCTTGCAGGTCATGGCGGAGGAGGATGAAGAGATCAACATCCATAATGATGAGACTTTCGGCATGGGTGTGTGTGTGTGTGTGTGTGTGTGTGTGTGTGTGTGTGTGTTTTTACCCTCTCAATGCAACAATAAATCAAAACATATTGGGTCGCGTTCCGAAATCATGTTGGCTTCAATATGGCCCTTCAGCAAAGAGGTTTGCCCACATCCAAAATAACACATTTATGAAAAAGAAAAAAAAAGTTTATTTTAAGAATGGAGGTTGTGCACATAACCTCACTGGAGGTGGAAATTTAAGTTCCATTTCGCTCTCGGCTTTAACATTTTGGAACGGAAAATTGGCATAGTTTAACAAATTGTCTTGATTGTGTTCTGTTTTGTTCATGACAGACGAAGACACACAGGTGACCCCAAACGGGCCCAACAGCACTCTCCTTGAGTTTGGGGACCTGCCGCCTCGACCCCCCACGCCGCCGCCTAACCTCAGACCTCCGCCGCCTCACAGCTTGCTCTCTCCTTCTGTACGGGTGCCCCATTACATGCAGCGAAGCAGAGGGCAAGGGCTGAGGAGGGGGCTGGGCAGGGCTCATATCTTCGAAGACCCTGCTGTGATGAGAATAGTGGAGTGCCGGCCGAGCCTTAAGGTGATGTTTGCATTGGCCTTTTGACTTTTTGTCAGCTCACCTGCTTTTTTTTTTTTTTTTTTTTTTTTTTTAAAACTCCAGAGCCTGGATAGCGCTATCGTGGACTGTGGAAATGTCATGGTCCGTCATCCCTCTGAGGACGTAAGTGGGTTTTTCTTCATGACTTTGTGTTGCAAATGATTTTTAGAGGCTTTCTTTTGTTCCTGCAGTGGATGGAACCATCATACAGAAAGACCAGAAGAGTGTCAGGATCGATACTTCAGGTGGAGATAAGTGAAGTCTGGGCATGTCAAGACTTGCAGTCTTACATTATGCGGTTCTGTGTCTTAGGACAGCGCTATAGTGTGTGTTATTGAGGGCCACCGAGGCCAACACCTGACCTCCAACTTCCTGGATCCTGCCGCCTCCTCCTTCAGGGGCAGGAGGGGAGGGGAACTGTGGGGGCCCTATTCAAGGCGGCAGTTTGGCCTGAGAGGCCCCTCGCAGGTGGAGATTTCCTTTTTATCTCTACCCCTAAATGCCTTGATAATTTTAGAAACCATATGTAAAAAAAAAAAAAAAAAAAATACAATTTGAAGAGTAGGTAGAATCTGAATGTTTCCGAACCTTTTGATATAGATACTGTACATGCAACTGTTCTATTCGTCACAATACGTTGCTGGAATAGAGAGTTGAACAAAGATGCATTATTTGTCATAAATTTTCAGATCTAGCAATTGGATAACTGAATGATCAATTACTGCTTGAAACAACTGTCAGCTTTTTTTTAATTTCGGTGTAGGTGCCCATGATGTCGGGTCCCCCTTTCTCCCGTCAGCTACTAACCCAGAGGCAGTGTTACGATCAGGTATACACTCTCATGCATTCAGGGAATGCAAATTGTTTGCCCCCCCGTGGATGAATTCTGTTTTATTTTGCTGACCAGACGGGAAGATTTGGGTACCCCGCAAACCGGCTGTGCCCTTCCACCCCGCAGCCACTCGCTCCCAAAATGATGCAGCTTCGTTTTGGCCCCAACTCGCCAAGGCCGTCCCCCTTCTACAGTCCCTCATCTAATCCAGTACAACATTTCAGGTTTGTGACTGGGAAAATGTGCATTCGACATGGTAAAATTCCCATTTTAGGAGTTGATGCATGAGCAAATTGAATCTATAATTTGTTTTTAAGATGAAGTCCTTTACGGGTGTTTGCAGGTACCCTGGCCCAGTCACCCAGCTCCACCCGCAACATAAACGCGCACTTAACCAAAAACAACGCACATTCCAGAGGTGCAGAGTCGTCCCTGTTGAATCTGACAGAATAAAATGTCGGCTGTACTTTTTATTGGACGTAATTACACACCTTCTGTAGAAAACTGGACGGGTGGGATCCTTACTGTAATCTGATGACAGCCAAGGAGAAGGAATGGATCACCCGGCTTCAGATGATCCAGCTGCAGAGTGAGAATCCGTACCTTGAGGATTACTACTATCAGGTATGAAAATGCCAAATTGAGCCAGGGCTTTACTATCCGGGTTTATATTTGCTTCCGTGTGGTGTTTTAGGAGTACTACAGACGAGTGGAAGCCAAGGTGGCAGAGGAGGAGCTGGGCATCAGGAGCAAGCGGGAGCCCCCCAAACTCACCACTCCTTACATCACAAAAACGGACGCCTACACACCAGGTTATGCTCGCCGTCTTCCCAAGGCCACCGTTTCAAAGTGCCTTCTGATGAACCAAATAAAGTTCAGATGTTCGTCGTGGTTTTGCCCTTGCAGTGGTGCACATTGAAGGCTCCCTGGGTCAAGTGGCGGTGTCCACTTGTTATTCTCCTCGGCGCGCCATCGGGGCTGTTCACGCGGTTCAAGCTCAGGGTCCACTCGAGGTAATAAAGATTTTTGCCACCATATTGTTCATGTTTTTAATATGTTTCCCTCGCTGACTGCTTCAATTGCAGGAGCAAAAGGACACAACGCGGCAACGGTTAGAACTTCTGAGCGAAATTGAAAAGGTGCGGCGGACATCTGTCTTTTTCATCTTTTCTCCTCCCCTTCCGCCGTCAGGTTCACTTCTCTTCTTTCTCCGCAGCTGTTTGTCGTTCTGTTAGAGGTGGAAGAGTCAGATCGGACCAAAAGCCCCCTCTTGTCCGAGCCCGAGGAGAGGAGGTTGATGGAAAAAACCCAGAGGAAAGTGGAGCACATCTACTGCAGGATGCAGCACCATGATGTCCTGTGAGTAACTGAAATGACCAGGTTGTCCTCAGACTTGAGACGACAACATGGGCGGTGCACACTTGGAAAGTATTTGCAACACTTTACACACACATTTGAGGTTAGCGGCTTTTTCCAAAAATGGAATCAATTCATTTTTCAAATGCAAACACAAATGAATTCTTTGGATTCCGTAGAAAGTAGCCACAGCACTTCAGCTTCAACACCCCCCACTTTTTTAAATGCCTTCTTCAAAATAGAAAAACTTCTTAAAATAACCATCAATATATATCCCCCCACCACCATACAAAGTATTTGCTGTGAGTGAATCTGAGGTGCACAGAAAGCATTCACTGGATTTTGCTTTTTCCGCATTTTGCTTCGTTTTTATTCCAAAACTGAGTAAATTTCCTCTCAAAATTATACACACATTTCATGAGGTTCAGTGGGCCCATACCTCATATGTATCTACACATATTTTACTTTTATTTATTTATTTATTTATTTTTTTAATCGGTTTTATTGGCTAAATTCATCTGTGGGTGTTTTTATTGTAAAAGGAATTCGGAAGGCGAATTTCTTCCTTTCCTGGTGGTCTCAAAGGGCAAAAAGCTTCTTGCCCGCCTCTTGCCATTCTTGAAGCATGATTCGGCCATAAAGATCCTGAGGATCGTCGCCTCCAACCTTCCAACGCTGATGAGCAGAGACACCGAAGAGGTAAGCTCGGTTTGCGGCGTGTTCTCATTGTTCTGACATTTCTGAGTTGATAGTGGCTTGCGTTTTTTTGTGTTTAGAACCTCCCAGTCCTCTATCCTCCTCTCCGAAATCTGATCGGAGGCCTGAACTTCAGTGAGCTGATTGGGATCCTCAGAGTTCTGACCTCGTCGGAGAACCTCTCCACGAATGAATGCCTCTCACTGGTGTGCCAGAACAAGGTCTTTGTCTGCTTGTATGAATGCTGGCAGTTGAGAATTAGGCTTTCTGTTCACAATGCTTCAAAATGATTTTTGTTCACAGTTGAGTGCTTTTTTTTTTTTTCTCTCCCTCAACCCTTCTTTCAGTTTGGGATCTCGCTGCTTTATGCTCTACTGTCCCACGGGGAAAAATTGTTGTCCTCCGGTGTTCCTCTGGAGCCCAGCATCGGTGACTTTGAGACATGGTACCGCTTCCAGCTTGTTGCTCCTTGAAAGGAGTTCAGGTCAGACGCATCTTCCTTTTTTGTTGCTGTTGTTTCAGGACGGACACAATATTCCAGGTGGCGGGGCAGCTTTCCCAGTGTTCACTGGTGGAGCCGCTCCTCCTGCCCTCCAATCTGCTGACGCTCTTCTGCCGCTACTTGGACAAGCGCACGGTGCACCAGCTAAAAAGCAACTTGGAGTAAGTCCTCTTTCATATCAAACAAGTTTCAATCAGGCCTTCCTCAAACCAGCCTAATGCTGCATATGATCTATCGAAAGGAACTCTGATTTAGAGTTGCATACATGTCATGTTGCAATGTTATTTTGATACATTTCAAGTGTTTAGTAGAACTGTCGAACCCCCTTGCATCTGTTGATTAGCACGTATATGCACATTGACACATCTGTTGGTTTGTCTCAATATAATCTATTGCTGATTCACACACCGGGGGAAAAAAAAAAAAATAACCCGAGCTAAACCCCCAAATGTTTTATTTAGGTCTGCGACAGGAGGCCTGGCGCTTCCGTCCTGAGCACGACTGCGCATGTCCATGTTATACCGAGCAAAGGCCGAACTTGCACTTAGAAGCTTGTTGTGGGTTAACAACAAGCTTCAATGTAATGTATCTATTTTGATTCTTATTTCTTCCCCCTCCTACATCACTCGTTTGTGCACACCCAGAAACTGTTTTTTTTTGGGGGGGGTTTTTTGGTCACTCTTTTGTCTCAAGCGGTTTAGCTTATGGTTATACTGTAGTCAGAAATACAAGTTTGCTGTTTGTCCCTATTTGTATATTTCAATCAAATTTTGTTGGATCAGAAGTTCAGTATTGTGTAGTAATATTTGATTGTACAGTCAAACCTATGTTTATAGCAATCACTCAGCTATAATGTGGCCCATGCACATTACAGCCATGCAGATTTTTTTTTTTTTTGTTTAAAAAAAAAAAAGTGTTGTGTATCGTGTATTTGATGTGACCTTTTATTTGGCTTGGTTTTGGGAACAAGGATTATTTAAATCTCACGCTTGTACAGCACTAGCAATATAAATAAAAAAAAAAACATTGTTAAAAATGATTAACAGCTTGAAGGTTTTATTTATTTTTGGCGGGGGAAGCTGCAAATGGACAGTCCAGATTTTACTGTGCTTGTTTATAAATGTGTTTACTTTCAAACAAACAAGTTAGCGTCCTTTGCTGTGACGCCCATGTGCGACATTCCTCAAAAGGGAGCAGAACATGAGAACTTTTATCGGACAAACAAGGACCACTAGACCAAAAAGTATTGTAGATTGTTAAAGAGAAGCAGTAAAACATGCAGCTAAATTTCCCAACTTATTGTGACATAATGGCCAAATTCTTTGGAAATGTGTTTCCTCAGATGGTTTTACAGTTTGAGGCTGGAATCCACTTTTTTTTCCCTCATTCGATAACCTGCATAAAAAAAAAGTAGGCTGATTTTTGAATGACTGGTCAACATGCCAAAATGACAGCTGTAACCATGTGAAGTCTTTTTTTCTTTTTTTTCTTTTTGACAACTTGTGATTTTGTAATTGAAGTGCTGACAGTTTGTGCAGAAGCCAACTATGTGAGAGGTCTGGGCGGACCAGGAGGTGAGACGTTAACCTTTCGTTGACCTCATAAGATGAGGATTTGGGCTTCGAGTGAGGAATCTAAGTTAAAGGTGAGATCTCTTCCTCTTTTTAGTTGCCCTTTCATTTTGCTTGCTTTAAAACGTGCAAGTGGGGCACCCAACTCAAGTGATGTGCGTGACACCATGGAAACTCAAAGCTCTCCCTCATGGTTTCCATGGAGCCCCATCTGTTCGGGGCTATGTATGGTTCATGGAATGCATTGAATATATCTTTTTACTTTTAAAATTTGATAGCGATGTTCAGTTTAAATTTGCAACATTACGTTTACTTTTGCCCCAACAAAAAGTTAAATCTGTTCAGATGCATGTACGGTACAATTTGACATTAATTAGGACATTTTAATGAACAAATTGCAGGAGCGCTTGCAACACTTGACATCTTCTAAGTTCCGGTAAATTTAGATACATGTTCCTCAAGGGTCTTTGAAGTAACATACGGTGTGCCTTTTAGGTCCTTTTTATTGTTTAATTTACAAAGTATATGTGCTTTCTCTTGGCGGCCTCGTTAAATTTCCCCAGCTACGTTGACGCCATGCAGTTGTACATCTGTCTCTCCTGATGAAGCCTGTCTGATGGATGGGAGAGAATTCTCTCCAACTTAACCAGGATAAGACTGAAGTTGTAATCATCTGTCCTGAGTTCCAGAGAGAGACTTGACTCAAAATACAAACACTGTCTCTACATCCAGATTAAGTAACCCTGTTATTGAGAGTCGGCATCCATCACCCTTCGAAGAAAACACCCGCCTGAACTATTTCAAAGATGCTTTTTATCATCTCGACAAACATGAAGGATGCCACGCAGAGGTCATCGGTCACTGTCCAAACACTCTCTCTTTGCTTTAACTTTCTCTTCAGTGTAAATGTACTTGAAGTGCCTAATTGGTCACTTTGCATGTATGTGCTTACAACGCCCGTGTGGATTCTGGGGGTGATGTGTGGGGGGCTGGAGGAGGAGCACTTGAGGCCAGAGTGTATATGAGACCCTCACATCAAGCTTTGTTGCACACTCCTCATCTTCAGCCCATTCTCCTCTTTTGGGGTGAAAATAAAAAAATCAAAGTACCTTCAGGCCTTTTCCCCCTCCAGGTCCAGCATGGGTGGATGCTTGGTGTTTCAGAGTGTGCTGATCCTGTGGCTGGTGCGGAGTGCGCATACTGGGGGTGAGTACATGAAACGCACTTGAAATCTTGAAATCACAGGACCTAATTTTCCTTTCAATGTGAGGCGCTATGTTATCAAATTGATAATAAATTCAAGCTCAGTCGAAGAATATGTCAATTTAACAACACATAAATAGCCAGCGTTATTGCTGTTATCTTTGATTGATAAATCCTTTTAACACTTTTTGTGGGGGGTGGGGGGCGGTAGGAGCGGGACAAATGATCAAAATTTACACTTCGCAACGTGAAAGTGGAGACCTATTTATCTTTGTGTTGAATGTCAATAAAACACTTGCTTTTATTTTGCAAGGCAATTTTTTTTTTGTTGCCCTAGGTTTCATGATTTCAAAGTGCAATAAAACAAAATTTACCGAGAGCAAATAATTCAGTAGGCCAGGTCAACACAATCTGCTGTGATAACTGCTGATGCAAATTTTCTTTGAACATCCTTGTAATTCGATTTTATTTTTAAATCGACTGATACAATGGTCCTCTGCCAGCGTGCTTGTTGCGGCCTTGTACCATGAATGATGTAACTTGCTCCGAGTTGAGATAAATTTCTTTTTCAAAGACTTGGGTTTGTCTGTTAAATTTCAAACCGTGGTGTTAACCGGAAATCTTAGCAACCGTAGCCGCGTTGTCCTTCAGTCATAGGTTCCGTTGTCTGCGCGGCCGTGCGGAATCAAAGGCAAGTCGAGCTTTGGTGGCAGCAGCCGTCTAAATTTAACATCCCGCTGTGAGCAGAGAGGTTTTACTGCCCGTGCACAGTCGCTGCTTTGACGTCCAATAAAATGGAATTAGCCCGCTGTGGTTCTTGGTTGCGCACCTGTTGATTTTTATTCCAATAAAACTGTTTCATACAAATCATGATGGTCATTTTAAAGTCTTGGCGAACATTTTCCATCAAAGATAAATGGAGACGTGATAGCTTAATTGAATTGTTGATTAAAAATATACTTTCTTGAAGGTTATGGTGCAGGATTGTCTGCACTACCCAATGGCCATGAAACACACTTCAACGGTGAGTCTGTCGGCGTGTATTATACCCCCCCTCCCAAAAAAAAAAGATGCATCTGTACACTGCACGTTCGCAGCAAATAATGGCCTTCTCTTGTAGGAAGAAGAGTGCACAATGGTGGAGGCGCTGCAAGAACGCTGAGGCCTACGAAAGGTTTATCGTCAATATCGCAAACCAGTTCAGCTGACGTCCTTGGCGCGGGTGCATGACGATCATTTTGTTTTTCTAAGGTGTAGGTTCACCAATGGGCGCCCAGAATGGATATGCTGGATACCGTAACAGTAAAGGAGCCGGTCAGTGAACGGTAAAAGTGACATGACGTCAAGCAGAGATGAGATGAAGCTCACCTTAGTTTGGCATTTTGCTCCAATTTAAGGCTATGGCGGAGCTGCTGGGATGGCCGCTGACGTGGGAACCAAAGGTTTCTTTCTTCTTTTTACTTGATTTTATTTTGGGTCTGCTTTGAATAATCGACACATTCCGACTTCTTTTTCAGGCTACATTGCAGGGAGATTTCAAGGAATGTGGCCACAAGGTAGTAATATAATGAGCATGCGTTGTAAAAACTTTGACCAATTCACAAGTGAATGGCGCCAATTTTGAGAGTGTAAGAAACTCACAAGTTACCATTCCACTGGTCCATATTTCTTAATATTTCCCAAATATAGAAATGCATTTTACTGAAACACTCAGGTGATAGTTGGTGACATATAGCAGTTTCATCCAATTGCAGTGGGACATTAAAAAAAAAAAAAAAAAAAAAATGTCATTGTTGCAGGCTATGGTCGCCATTCTGGGCCCACCAGCAAACATCCAATGAAAGGCAATGGTATGATTCCCTTCAAAATTCCCACCCTAGGTGCTCTCCTACAATGTTTTGATGTCAAAAATTCTCATTGCAGGCTACAGAGCTCATGTCGGCGCATTTGCTGGACGAGGAAATAAAGGCAATGGTCATTTTAGACGATGAGAGAGAGATTTTGGCGGCCGCCTTCTGTCATTCATGAAAACTCTTGATGTCTCAAGGTTATGGAGGTCCTGCTGCTGGTCCCCAAACTGGAATCAAAGGCCAGATGAAGGGTGCGTAATGGGATTTGAGCAATTAATGCCATGTGTTTGGAGTAAATAAATCATGTTTAAGGTTCTCTTAGGTTATGGTCGTGCAACTGGAGCTCTTGCTGGAAATGGAGTCGAGCCAAATGGTGAGTGACCACTGAGAGTGTCATGGCCTGAGACTGTATGATGTATTATTAGTTGATGTGGTTGCCACAGGGAAATCAAATTCCCTCCCTGCTCACTGTACAGTACTGCGTTTTGAGAAAAAAATTATTGTACTCCTTGTAGGTCATGCGTACAGCGGACTTGCCAATCAAGGTTATGGTAAGCAAAGGTTGCTGTGTGGACTGGACTGGTCGAGTGGAAAATATTGGCAAAATACTCCCTTCATGTCCCGGAAGTTGAGCAAATCTTATGAGATGTCAGTTTTTTTATTTGGCATCAACATAACTCTCTTAAATCAACCAACAAATTGTTCATAGAATGATTTATGATCCCAGTAAAACATCGATCTTTGACAAGTCTTAAGTTTTATTGGGGGTCATAAATTATTCAACAAACGATAACATCAAAGGTTAACTGACTAAAGCGGTCCTCCCTGACCTCCATGCTACACATTACTGCTATTACTCTATTAGGATATGGAGCAAAAGCTGGTCTACCAAATGGAGCTGGAAACAATGGTAACGTTTGGCCAACCAAACCTCATTTTAAGGCCGGCGTATATGGCATCTTTTGCATTACATATTATCCTTCACAGGCCTGGGGAGTGCTGGACGTAAACCCGTAAAAGGATACGGCCAGCCATACTATGGAGCAGGTGATGACACACCTCCACTGTTTTCTTTTGAGGTCAGCATTTTACTTGTAATTGATTGTCAATAAGGTGCTGGTCTGGGGGTGCCGCAGCTTGCCAGGAACCAGGGCAAGGGTGCGCCATATAATGGTTATGGTACACAACCAATGGGTGGTGAGTCAAAGTCGGTCCTCAGAGACCTCCCCTGCCAGATACTGATATGAAGACTATACATTTGTGTGTATTCTTAGGCTACACCGGTGGTCATGGTAGTGCTGGAATGAGCCTGGGACCTCGATATGGAAGTGGAGGAATCAAAGGACCCAAATCAGGTTGGCGAATCTTTACTGTTGAGACAAAAAGGTGGTGAAGTTGCAGCATGCACTCACTTGCTAGCAGTAATTCCGGGGTGTAACAGATTAATGCCACTGCCATTCATTTCAATCAGAGAAGTTGATTTGGGTCAATAGCGTACCTGTGCATCATTATTGCACTAACTTTTTTTTTTAAATCAAAACATTTCGTCTGCATGATGGATTTTTGTTTTGTGGTTGATTCTGAAGGTTATGGATACCCCAATAGTGGCACAAACTATCCTGTAAAACCAGGTAGATTTGGTGATTATACTCTCTTCTTCCCACACTCCAAATGTGTGCGTGTTTGCTTCAAGAATGACTGTAGTCATCAGTCTGTCATCTTACTTGCACCCCTCCTCCCCCAGAATATGGCAATATTCCACATGGGAATGGTGGTGTGAAGACCAACGGTGAGTCTCAGATTGTCCCTTCAAAATGCATGCTTAATGCAAGTATAGTTATGAGTAAATTTAATTGTTTTTCAGGATACGGAGTGAACAGAGGAGGTACTGCCATCTCCAAAAACATGTTATGAAAGTGTGTACCACTAAGTATAATTCTCCATGTAGATCCCCCATTTTCTGTTTTTTGTTTTTTTTTTTTTTGGTTTTTTTTTCAAATCAAGGTTATGCGGCTGGACTTGTGCCGAGTGGAGCCAAACCTAATGGTAGTGAATCACACTTAGCTTATCTGTGATACCGGCCGTTCAGGAATGGTGCATTCATGCTTGTTTGCTTTTCAGGATATGGAAACGCAGGCACAAAAGGATATGGAACCAAACCCAATGGTGACATCCTATGAATGTGAACAGGAAAGCGCTGGTCTTTGCAACATCTCATTTGTTGTTACGCTTTCCTTCAGGCCCTGGAAATGGTGCAGCACTCGGAGGAGCGGGAAATAAACTCAATGGTGTGTTTGTAGAAATCAAGAACACGTTGCACATTTAGTCCACAATCTTGGTATTATGATAAATGTAAACCACTTAACGCAGGATATGGAGGAGGAGGACCTGGCTCGCCACCTCAGGCCTCTAAAGGCGTTGGACCTACGTCACCTCTGCAGGGTAGGAGTTCTCTCTGTGTTGTGAAATCCAGACCGGGATGAATTTGTGTATCTAATTCACAGGCTTTGGTGGTGCTGTTGCCCTACCAAATCATGCAGCTAAAGCACCAAACTCTGGTAAGCACAGTCTGCATATGGATTATAAAGTCATATTGCATGTCTCCGGTACATTTCATCAACATCAAATCCAGGTCATGTTTGAAGGACAATTTTGCAACACGAGTTATGCAAGAGAGCGGCAGAGCACTTAAAAGGGAGGACCATAACGCGACAACCCCATGCATCGAACATGTACATAATCTTGAACCAACGTTTCATAAACAAAATGACACATTAGCACAAACTGCTGTGACGTCGACACCCTGATTTTTACAGTAAATATGAACATGATTTCCGCTTGCGTCTCAGGTTTTGGCCACACGCCGTATGGAAAAGGTCCAAAAATGCCAGGTGCCCCTAACGGCAAAGGGCTTAAAGGTGGTGTTCTGTCACCTCGACAACCAAGCTCTACACTCCAAGAGGGCGCCTCACCTCAGCGACCAATCATCGAAGGTGGCACGCTACCGGCACCTGAGCCCACCAGCGGGCGGCTCGTTCTGGTCACCAAAGACCAATACCAGAAACTGCCCTTGCCTGTACCCCAAGGGAAAAACTTCATGCAGCCGCAGGCTACGCCGGCATATGTACCCAAAGAGCCCAAGCTTGGTCCTGAATCCTCTCCTGGGTCGGCACTCATGAGACCACTGGACAAAAGTCTGACGCCCCGCTCTTATGAAGCAGGGCCGCACAATAACCCTGCAGGTGGTAGACCTGTCGCCCCTCCCCAAGGCAAGTACCAAGAAACTCCTCTCTCGAATAAATGACGGGAAGCCCCACTTTATATGCCGGTATATATATTTTTTAACTCACTGAAGTTAACGTAGCTTGCCTGTCTTGGCGGGTTTTCGAGTGAAATCATGTAGCTTGAGTCAGCCTCTCATAAGTTTTAGCAAAGTCTGAAAATTGGCCACTCGAGTCAAGACGTGACTAGAGTGTGCTTGGGGCCCTTCAAAGGTGCGATATCGGCGGATGGCAAAGTATGAGGACATAAGCCTGTGAGCAAGAGTCCTGTAGAATTGCTTAATTGAAATGTCTTCCCTTTTGAAATTGTTTACCCATTGCCACTAAACTTGATCCATAGAGCACTTACAAAAAAAAGCAGCAACTCTTGTAGTGTCTTCTCTCTGTTCTGTGTACCTAAATTTTAACATTTCCGTTAAAATTATTGGCGGATTTAATTTGGATTTCAGTCAACAGATACAGAACCATTGAAATGACAACTGAAGAAAAATCTGTTTTCGCAATGGTCAATATTGAATGCATTGGCGCTGCCTTTGTCCAGTCTCACGGCCAGCAGAACATTGATGACATGTCTGACCTCTAGGTTATGTTTTTGGCGCCGATCCGCCCACGCAAAAAAGCCCAGAGGCCGATGATGTATTTGGGGTGGGCGTCACCGGTGAGGGTTATTCAAAGGACATCCTCCATCCTGAGCAAAGGCCAGCTGCTCAAGTCACCCTTGAGGAGGGAGCCCAAAATCTGGAGACGGAGGAAGCAACTGAGAGGCAGATGGTCAAAGGTGTCAAACTTTCACCGGTTACTTACGTAACCCTGAATTAGATGCATTTGCCTCTCGTGCATGTGTGAATGTCAAAACACTTTTTTTTTTTTTTAATCAAGTTGAATGGGGAAAATCGACAGGATTTGAAAGTTTGGGAGTTTGTCAAGCGCTTGCTGGCGTTCATGTGCCAATATACACTAAACTGTAACCTGTAGAACATGAGATTCAGTTTACATGATGCCTGACATGCTACTTGGAGTTTGCTGCATGGTCTGCAATTTAATATACTCCGCCCCAAGCCATTCATTTGCATCCATGATGTTTTGCAAACAATATGACTAAACATAAGCACACTAACTTTCTAATCTGTCCTGAATTTTAGAGAATGGAGCAGGGGCTTCAATATCCAAGGGACACAGACCTCAAGCAGGCAAACCTGGTAAAATTCTAGTTTGCATGTTAAATTCACCATGATCCCCGTAGCTTGTGGACATCAAATGTGCATTTGTTGGCTAATGTAATTTTTTTTTTTTTTTTTTTTTTAAGATAAATGCACTTTTCTTGTAGACTGTGGCCCAGGGAGTCCAAATGGACAGTGGATGAAAATACCTAGACCAGGTAAAAACAATGCAAATTAAGACGTCCAGTAGGATTAACCTACTGATGTGATCACTTGCCATTTGCAGGTGAAAATGCTTTTTAACATTTTTGCCATATGAAGTGTTTTAAGTATCATGAAAATGGGTCTGATTTGAATTTAACGTATGTATATTTATTTATATACATTGTATGATAGGAGCTGGCGTGTCGGCGGGCAGCAACACCAAAGGTACTTGTGTACTAATGACTGGGTTCTTTCATTTGGGCTCACGGAACAAATGAAACTTGCAAGCCTGGGCTCTATCCACCCCCAGCCCCCTCTCTCCTTACTGTACTCTATTTATCAGGTTACGGAGCAGCTGGTCCAAACAGATTGGGCGCCAATTCCGGTAAATCTAATTTTTACGTCTGTCTAGACTCTTAAATTGACAATACATTTTCAACTGCACATCTATGTTTTGAAAGGTTCTGGACCTGCAGGCTATGCTGGACCTAATACTGGATATGGAGTCGGTAAGATCAACTTAGCAAAAACCGATAATGACAAATGTGCCAACTCATTCATACTTCTGTGCGCGTGCTTAGGCCTCGGATATCCAAACGCAGGCAAACCACAACAGTCAAGTGAGTACGCTATTCCCTTAGGTTAGAAGCATTTCACCAAGGGTTAACGTTTTCATTGCACTTCCTCAGTTTACAGGCCAGGAGCCAACCTTGGAGGAGCTGCCTATGTCAAGGGAAGCGCTTACCCAGGTCAACATTTTTAATAAGATTTTTGAACCAAGTCGTCAAATCTTAGAGACGAACAGAATACTGTGTGTGTATTTTTACATTTATATTCATAAACATTAAATCTATATTCATCTTAAATGCATGAGTGTTTCTCTCACCCCCCCATTCCCCAAGGCTATCCAAATGGCGATGTTGCTGGTGTCCAGCCAAACTATGCGAGTATGTAACATCAAATAATTCATTGCTTTGGAAGGATTAATACTGTTTCTCTCTACCAGCTGAGATATGCTCCAACTCACCTGTGAACATGACGTGTTATTAAACAAATGTATGGATGTTATTTATTTAAACTTTTTCCAGATCTTGGCCACGGTGTTCCGACAATTGGTGCAAAATCAGGTGGGTGAATTTGGATCCTAATCAGATGTCACTTTGGAGAATTTCATTTAAAAAAAATGTAAAAATTTTTTTTAATGCTCAACTTGCAGGTGGTGCTGTGCAGGTGCCTTACAATGGCGCTCCAGCCGGAGTTGATGGTAAGATGATGTCGAATAAAGAGCAGAATTTAATTAAGGTGAAGTTTGAGACTGACCACTCAAGTTGACTCTTTTACCTTCCATCTTAGTAGAATAAGATTTATTGTTCTGCCTGTCACTGACATAGATGAACATTTTTTTTTTATCTATTCATTTTTAGGGTGTTCCATCTGTCTCCTGTGATAATCACTGAAATGTTGATTTCTGCAGATGCAAATCAGCCTGAGCCACAGCCAGCCGGCCTCGGTCCAAATGGAAAACAACCCCCGGTGTACGCTGGTATGTTGAATCTTTTTAGGTCTTTTGGGGTTTTTTTTTTCTTGTTTTGGTGTAGTTTAGTCAAGACGAAAAACAAACATTTTAACAGCAACATCATTTCCCCCCACCTGCGCCAGGAATGGAGGGTTTACCTTACGGGGGTCAGCTGGGCATGGGTCCTGAGAAAGCAAATGCCAAGTATGGTGAGGTTTTTTCTTCTTGGTCATTCCAAATCTGTTTTTTGCCTTTTAAGAACATATTGGTTTGTCAATCATTTCTTCTGTTGCTCCAGGCATTGGCGGCTTGCAGTTTGGTGGCGGCCTTCAGCCAGCCAATAATGGTGGAGGTAATTATGAAATTTGAAATGTCACATCCACAGCTCAGGAGGCACTGTCTTCTCAATGGCTTTAGTTTGTGACGTGTCAGTTGGAAAGACTTTACATCATTTGAATTGATTCAAAAACAGATGTGGTGGAAATTCATAGTTGAGATGGTTATTGAGGGTCTGGCTAACACAGCTCCGTCGCTCTGATAAATGGCACGGATCTTCTTAACCTTGCTAAATACACAATTGTGCTGGATTGTTGTTGGGGTTTTTTTTCCCCCATTTTAAGTAGTTTGATGAGCCATCTGTTGGTGCAGCTCCCAATACTTTGGTTCAAGTTTTGGCCATGTCTAATCACAATGCAGTGAATAATTGAAAGGCAGAATTTGTTTCCAAGTCACTATATGTACTCTTCTACATTGATGTAACCTTAGATACGGCCGAGATGGGTGGTGTTGCACCTGGACAATATGGTAAGCACAGATGTACGTAAATACTTTAGGAATGGCTCACCTGGGCCTATAACTGTGTCCTCTCTGGTCAGGGTATGGCGGCATCACCGATATTGGCCACCTTCTACGTCTCGGCAGTAATGGACCCCTTGCTGGCAAATATGGTGAGTCCAGTTTTGGCACAGACATAAAGAAAAAAAAATTTTTTAATTGTCCTGATGGCTGTTCCCTGTGCAGGTTATGGAAGAATGCCCCACGAAGTGCAACCTGTTGGGTTTGTCCCTCAGATGAGGTCTCCTGGTGCCACACAATATGGTGAAAACGCTTATCATCCAATCCAGGAAACTACCCAATAAACGGGACAATTCTTCTTTTTGAGCTGCTTGTTGCTAATTTGTATGTATTCCTCCTCAGGTCATGGGGCTTTACCTTATCACTCAGGTCTTCTTGGATATGGACCAAATATGAACTATGGTGAGAGCCTTCAAATAAGACTTTTTTTTGAGGGGGAGGAATTTTTAATTTGAACAAGTTTTTATATGATTGCCAAGGTGGTGTTGACGGTTCCTATGGGTCACAAGGCCTCGGAGGTGAAGGGAAGCCTGCCGGGAAACATGGTTTGTTTTTGTTTTATCATTTGGTACATGACTTTTTAAGGCCATTTGTCGATTATTCAATTTGAATCTTTTTAGTGGATAATCTGCCACTTCACCAGAGCCAGCCTCTGGAAGCTCCTTCTGACAGCCGATCAGGTAGAGCAGAAAATTCTCTCTCTCTGTTGCGCAGTAGCTGGAATTTAAGAGAAACTTTGTTGATCTTGGTGTGCAACTTAAAGGGAAAGTGTAAATGACAGGATTTCTTTTGATCTTCAACAGGTTCACCTTATGAACCCCAGCCAGGTACAGCTGAGAACACCAACGGCACGTCCTTCATTCAGGAAACGGTTTTCGATTTTTGTAAGGACTTCATTTTGTGGTGATTTTTGGTCTTCATTTCCTCTCAGCGGGAGGCGATCCAAATCTGTCACGAGCGGGCGATGGCATCGCGAATAATAAATATGGTAAGTGGGAATTGGTCGCATGCGTACAAGTTTCACCCCCCCAAAGTTACAGTGGCAATAAGCAAGTCTTTACTTAGGCTCTCTGGAACCTGCAACTTTTTTTTTTTTTTTTTTTTTAACTTTCAGAAAATGTGGGTTACATAAGTGGAAGCAAACTGCAGCCAGAAGGTAACGTATGTTTCCAAGTTTGTGTACCTAATGTTAAAAGATGATAGAAAAATCCTTATTTCCCCTTCCCTAGTCATTTCACTCCCTGCGGCACCCACTCCCTCGCCGCCTGACTCAGTCTTCACACCAGCGCAAACAGACGACCTCTCCTCAGACCTCACGGGCACTGGTAACCTCGCCTTCAATTCGGAGGCGGACAGGCAGGCCACCGCCCAAGGGTCAGAACAGCCCGACGACCCAGCGCCGATGCCGCGGCAGCTTAACATCCAGCAGCACCTCAAACTGCAATTTCACCCTCAAGGCAAGAGACACAAATTCAACTGGTTAAAAAAAAAAAAAAAAAAAAAAAAAAAATAATTTTTAACACTTGCC